CATAGAACTCCAGGAAAAGAGCAGTCAAATTCAGGTGTACCGAGTACAGCTTTGGACTTGTTTCCCCAAGCTTGGTGAGCCTGGCTTAAGGAGCAACTCTCCCAGAGTTCCACAGACAAGGTGCTGGCAGCAGGGACTCCTTCCAGGCACTCAGAGGAAGAAGCCGGCTCAGGCCTTCCTTCTGCTTTCTTCTTTGGGCACATGTTCCGTGAGTGTGGTGGTTTGGATGAGAATGAGGCCAACGGGCCAGTAACCTGGGACTACAGATGCACACGTGGATCCTGGGATGGAACTTAGGCTTGCAAGGACAAGCGCTTTTATCTGCTAAGCCATCTCATCAGCTCTCCCTTCTGCCTTTTTCCACGTGTGTTCCATTGGCCTCCCCTACCTCCTCGGTACCTCTTTTCCCCCTCGTGGTCCTCCTTCTCATTCCAGGATCTATATCCCAACTCACGCCCACATATATACATATGAGGCTGAGATCGGCACGTGAGAGAGAACATACGGAATTGTCTTCCTGAGTCGGGGTCACCTCGTTTAATGTAACAAATTCCAGGCCCGCCCACTTCCCTGCAAGTTTCATAATTTCATTTTTCTTAACAGCGGAATAAAAATTCCATCACGTATATGTACCACATGGTCCCCAGCCGTTCATCTCTTGATGGCCATCTTGTTCTAGTTCCTGGTTACTACGAGTAGTATAGCCCTAAACACAGATGTGCGGGTATCTCTCTGGGTATCTAGCCCCGGAGACCCAGTATAGCTGGGTAGAACTCTCAGTCCCACCCCAACAACAGACCACAGATGTATGTCTCCTAAAGGACTTCCTAGTCCTGATCCTAGGGGCACTTTCCCGACAGGAGAGTCATGAGAAAGGAGGCGCAGACAACAGCAGTGGCCTGTCTTCCTCCAGCCTTAGCAGGGACACAGAAACCTTGCTCCAGCCTCTCCTCCAGAGGAAGTCCACCAGTCTCGCCCTGCCCCACTGTCCCAGGCCCTTGGAGTCTCCCCAACCCTGCTGCCCTTTTCTGTTTACACTGGGAGATGAGCCTCTGGGAGCTTAAGTGCAGTTCTGGCCCTTTTGTTTGTTTTGAAGTCAAGTTACGACTTCGCTCCCGGATTTATTGCAAATTCCATTTATCTCCCTCTCCCCAGGGTCTCAGCACCAATCCTTTAGGGCTGCTCTCCCCACTGGGGACAAATGTCAATTGACACAGGAAAGGATAGGCGAGCACAGATATGGAGGAGGCACATGTAAGGGCAAGAGCCAGCCCCTAGTACAGGAGAAGCACAGATCACCGGAGGAGGACAACAGGCCTCAGCAGCCTGCCTGCCACCCCCATCACGCCCCTTTTTCACAGGCCTTAATAGGAAAGAAGAGCCAGGCCCAAAGAAATCCCAGTTCTGGGGGGGCTAGAGTAAACAAAGGAAGGCTCTGGTTTAGAGGGATGAAGCCTGTGGCAGTTTTTAGCAGGAAGCGGTGTGAGGCCAAGGGTCCTGGGAGGCCTGGAAAGGAACCTCTCTGGAGTTGGTCTGACACGGGCTGAGGGCCTGAGAGTTGGGCACGGGTTCATGCCTGCGGCCTTGCTGGGAGCCTCTACCTTCTCCTAGGTATCCCAGTGCCCTCCAAACCCCACTGTGTTCATAAACTGCTGCTGTGAAGCTCACTAGGGAGAGAAAGAATCAAACTGAGCCAAACAAATTGGGAATGGGAAGTCCCACTGTGCTGTTGGCTTGTCCTTTTCGAGACAGGAAGTGCCGTGGACCTGTCCCTTCCTTGCATAAGTTCCCTGGCTAAGGAGCATGCAGGAGACACTGGAGGACTTCAAGCCAGCCTGGTAAGGGGGGGAAAGAGGTTGCTCCCTATCAACACATACACACCAGCCAGGAGAACAGAGGCAAGGTTACGTGGCTGCAGAGTGCCCTGGAGAAGGCTGTGGCTGTGGGCAGCAGGTGAGAAGAGTTACTTTTTGCATCCTCCCCGGGCATCACCAAGACACGAGACTAGAGTTCTGGCCTCACAGCCAATGACGCTGGGAGATATGGTTAGTGAGTGAGGGCTGAGCATCTGAGAGCACCCTGATTGCAGAGTAGGTGCAGCTGCTTGCCAGAAGCACATCCCACAGCCATTTCACCCCGCAAGGCACTGGGCTCCATTCTGCCCAGACCTGATTCTTCCTCAGTCTCTAAGCAGCTGAGCCCTTAGCCCAGCATCTGCGTCATCCGCATCTCTCCAGACCCAACTCTGGACTCAGGCCCTGAGGAGCCAGGGGCCTTCACATACCTCCATCAGCTTAGCCCTTGCCTCTGGCATCCACTCCCACCAGTCTCTGAGGCTCTCTGTGCTTCTCTCAAGTCTCCTCACAAGCTTTTCTCTGTCCCCTCACCAGCCTGACCTGTCCTCTAAATTCCTCTGTCCCTAACTTGCCCTGAAGGACCCGCCTAATTCACCCATTCCATTCTCTCTGCACATGCTACCACCTGGCCCGGAAGGGAGCGGTTAAACACCCAGTTGGTGGCAGATTCAACAATTAGGTCACCGTCCCTGCGATTCATCCCCCACCCCCAACCCCAGCCTCCATCTTCCAACACCTCACGGCCCTCTTTGCTAGGGTCCTGGCCTTTTCTCAGGTCCCTTCCAGTCTCTGCCTGCTCACCTCCAAGTCCCTTCTTATTGCCCCCTTTCCCTCATGCCAGGGCAGGAGAGGTTCCTACCTCCTCTCGGCAAACTTACATACCTGGCCCTGTGTAGTCCCTGCCCCTTCCACGCCATGTCATCATCTCTGTCTCCTTTCCTGGATCAGAAGCTGCATGTTCAGATTCAGCTGAGATTCAGCAGCACACTCCTGCTGAAGAAGCAGTAGCCCAGAGCATGGCTGCCTCTTCCCTCAGGCTGGAATGGCTTCCCTCAGACCTGCTTTCTCTCCACTCACCACCCTTTTCTCCCTTTGCTAAACACCTGTGTTTGTTTCTTTCTTCAGACCCAGCCCACACACCTTCCTCACAATGGTGGCTCAGTAGCTCTCACAGCTGCCTCGTTGGGGTGCCTCTTGGACTCTCTCCTTAGGCCATTCTGGCTTCTCTCTGCCAAGATCCCACTCTCCTCATGCTCTTTAGCTACCCCCCCCCCGACAACTCGGCCCTCTCCCCTCCCCATCCTTGTCAACCAGAGTCCATGAACCCCAAATCTCTAGCTACCGAAATGCCCATATTTCTGTCTACTGTTGGCTACTTCAGCACAGACACTGTGGAGAACTGCACACAAAAAAATGAACCGATCACCTCAGACTCTGTTTTTGAGATTGCTTGATAGTGTTATATCCCCAGTTTCCCACAGACAAGGCTGAAATCTTCAGCTTCCAGAAACCCAAATGATCTTCTTCAATGTGTGTGTATGTATACGTGTGTGTGTAAATGTGTGTATGTGTCACATACTCTAATGTTATCATCTAAATTCAAGCCCTTCCCATCTCTCTCCTAGACCTTTTTCTCAGTCTCTGAGCCTTTTCTCTGATAGTCCACTTGTCTTTGGACACAGGGCCCTTCATAGCAACCTGTCTCCCTTTCAGAAACCCATGTGGGGCCGGCGATGATGGCGCACGCCTTTAATCCCAGCACTTGGGAGGCAGAGGCAGGAGGATCTCTGTGAGTTCAAGACCAGCCTGGTCTACAGAGCTAGTTCCAGGACAGGCTCCAAAGCCACAGAGAAACCCTGTCTCGAAACCCCCCCCCCAAAAAAAAGAAACCCGTGTGGATGCCACACTGTGTGTGGTTCCCTAGCCAGGGCCAAGTCCTTGTCTTGCTGTCAGTCCAATTTCTACTACTTGTGGCTGGCAGTTGTTGGCTCAGAATCTACTATGCAACAGGTCCCTGGGTCTAAACAAGAGCCTCTTCCTTCGCACTTGCAGAGCTGGCCACTCCCTCACATCCCCAGTTTTCCATTTGCCCATTTTTGTCTGCAGTGGACAGCCCCCCTCCCATTTGCTGCAGGTATTTCCCAGTCTTGCTTAAGGCCTAGTTCTTCCAAGAAACCTAAAAACTTCCAAAGTAACAACTGAGTCCCCTGTTCTTCAACCCATATGACAACAACATCTGAATATATGTGTCATCTCCCTGGTTGTACAGCCCTGGCCTACCATAGAATGTTGACTGAGTTTTCTGTTGTCAGGGACCCATTACTCTAGTATATGTTAGCCACATGGCTCGGTACCTTTTTCAGCAGGGTAGGTCACATCTTCCTTCTTCCATGTCTGGGCAGGACAGGGAAAGAGCTTCCTTCTTTCCAGAATATTCCTGTTCTCATTGTCCCACCTCTACTTCCTGTCTGGTTGTCCTGCCTATACTTCCTGCCTGGCTACTGGCCAATGAGCGTTTATTTAAAACATAATTGACAGAATACAGAATTGTCCCGCACCAATAGAATAATTCTTTTTGGAGGGATTTTGGTTGGTTAGTTGGTTGGTTGGTTTGGGGTTTTTTGGTTTTTGTTTGTTTGGTTGGTTTTGGTGTTTTGGAAGATTTTGTTTTGTGTTGTGTTTTAGTTATTTTCAAGACTGGGTTTCTCTGTTTAACAGTCCTAACTGTCCTCAAACTAACTTTGTAGACCAGGCTGGCCTTGAACTCACTGAGGTCCACCTGCCTCTGCCTCCCAAGTGCTGGGATTAAAGGCATGTGACATCACCACCCAGCCAGAGAACAGTCCTTAATGTCGTATGTATCCTACACACTTTTAATTAAAGCCAATAGCTTTTGAATTGGATCTTATCCTCAGATTTAGCATTATTTTCTAGCTGCTAAAATTGTGGGCAGAGTCAGGGAGGGTAATCACAGCAACTCCTAATACCTGATTCAGTCTCCAGAAAATTAAGGAATCCCTGACTCAGTGGCCCCAAGTCTTGTACACACCCTCTGCAGGTATGCTGACATTTCTTATGGTCTTCTTCCTACTGACCCGGTGGAATCAGAAGAAAGAGACCTTGGATATACATCTGGGGGCTCACCTGGCCTTTTTCCACAGTTGCCTCCCGAGAGCATGTTCTGGGAACCTATAGGCTGATTGCTTACTTCTGACTTTCAGGACCGGATGTCACCATCTTACAGTCTCTGTGGTGGAAAGTCTCTTTCCTGTTCCGAAGACCTCCCTCCTGCCCCTCCAAGCCTCAGTGCTGCTCTCTTTCCCAAGCTCTCTAGCAGGTCTCTTGCACAGGAGGAGGTTTTCTCACCCTTCTATCAGCATCGTCTCTAAGGGAGAGGATTTTTGAAGCTTATCAAACCTAGTAACTCCTAGAAAGGAAGAAATAAAACTCATCGGTCTAGGGCTTTTGTAAAAGTTGAATGGGACACAGCCCAACTGTGACTGTTCACACAGCATTCTCACAGAGATATTTGAAGAAAAGGAAACTTTGTCACTTAGGAGGGGATCATGGGTCCTCGTGTCTAGATGCACACGAGCTCACTCCTCAGCCCTTCCCCCACCCGATCTGGCATGGGACATCCCAGGACCCTCTGGACCTACCTCTGTTTTCTAGTCTCCCCATTTCCAGTCTAGCTGTGTTCTTATGCCAAATCCAGTGGAAGATTTTCTCTTTTTCAGGAAGAAGACATTGGTTTAATCACCTCCACAAAAGCCAGGAGAAGGATCTCGTATGGGGCTCAAATCCTGCCCTGAGTCTCAAAGAACTGGCTAAAGAAATAAGAAGATCATGGCAGCCGAGGCTGCAGGAACTCCTGGGAGTTGCTGACCTGCATTTTGAAAAGACTCCACGGTGCTCTCTGCAGCTTGGAACAGAAAGCGGCTCAAGCTGTCAGGGAGCCGGTGTTCCCCGTCAAGGGTGAGCTGGAGCAGGCTGACCCAGGAACGGGCAGTCACAGCTGAGCGCATTAGCTTGCGTGGGAAGGCCAGCTGTCTCAGTGGGGCCCAGGAGACAGACTGACTAGGGAAGAATTCCTGTGTTTGGAACTGGGCTTGAAAAGTCTCCCATTTGTAGCTCTCAACTCACAGAAGAGCAGAAAGAATTTCCAGCTGTCATCAGGGTGCAGAAAGTCCTCCCGCGTCTGTCTGGGGGGGGAGGTGTGTGTGTGTGTGTGTGTGTGTGTGTGTGTGTGTGTGTGTGTGTGTGTGTGTGTGTTGTAGACTCTCCTCCTCCTCCTCCTGGCCTGGCTACCACATCAGAGGGGTCAGCTCCAGGTCACATGACCCCCTGCTGTCAAGAAAGGCAAGCAGGCCAGGCCTGGTAGCACAGCTGCTCAAGAGGCTGAAGCAGGAGAATCTCAAGTTCAAAGCTAGCCTGGGCAATTTGACAGAAGTTAAAAAGGGGGTGGAAAAATATGCATATACTCACATATCCAATGATATTATAATATATATGGTATGATATATAATCTATTATATAGTCCAGTGTAGAACACTTACTTGCCTAGGAAGTACATTTCCCTTCAACCCCCAGTTGAGGGAGAGAGAGAGATGGGAGGGGAGAGAGGGAGGGAGAGGAAGGGAGGGAAAAGGAAAGGTAGAAAAGAACCATTGTCGCTGGACAGTGGTAACACATGTCTTTAATCCCAGCACTCGGGAGGCAGAGGCAGGCAGATCTCTGAGTCTGAGGCCAGCCTGGTCTACAGAACAAGTTCCAGGACAGGCTCCAAAGCTACAGAGAAACGCTGTCTGGAAAAAACCAGGAAGAAAAAAGCCAATGTCCTGTGGCTCCTCTTATATGAGTATCTAGCTTACTCAAATTTGTGGAGACAGGAGGTATCATGATGGTTGCTAGGAGTTGGGAGAAAATTAATGGTTTGTGGGAATGGAATTTCATGTTTTTCAAGATGGAAAGTTGTGGATACAGACAGTGGTGCTGGCTGCAAACCGGTGTGAATGTTCTTAATGCCACAGGATCGCACACTTTAAATGACCGACTTACAGGCCAGGGAGCTGGTCCATTTGGTAAAGCACTTCGAAAGCAAACATGCATACCTGAACTCAGTCCCCAGAACCCATGGAAAAAAAAAAAAAAAAGACAGGATCAGTAGCCTGCCCTGTAATCTCAGTGCTGGGGAGACAGGAACAGGCAAACCCCTGGGGCTCTCTAGCCAGATAGTTCAGGCCAACTGATAAGTTCCAAATCAGTAAAATCTCTCAGAGAATGAAGGCAGATGGCTCCTGAGAAACAACACCTAAGTTTGCTCACTGATCTACACACACACATACACACACACACACACAGACACACACAGACACGCGCGTGTGCGAGGCCAAAATGATCTGTTTTAATGTTACACGTATTTTACCACAATTGGGGTGAAGGTGGGAGGAAAGACGGAAGGATGAGGGAGGAAGGGAGGGAGGGAGGAAGGGAGGGCAGGCAGGTGGGGAAAGGAACTCAGTTCTGCTCACAGCACTGTCAGTAGAAGGCAGCCAGGTGACTCGGGTCCTGACTCCAAAGAGGGGAATGTGTCTGGGTGAGTACATCAGGAAATGGATTCACACACAGCATGGTAAAAGCAGGGAGCATACAAGGCCAAGCCGTGTAAGCCCTGGACACTCCCGATGACTAATAGCTGAGCTAATTGTGCACACCACAGACCCATCGAAGTTTTTCGTTGGAAGTTATTCATTAAAAGCCTATAAGCCTTGTACGGCTATGGATGGGAAGCCATTTCTTCATAACCTGTTCAAACACATAATTTAACTCTTCTCAGTCAGACTCTATTTTTAGAGCTAGGGAATTTGGGACCCGAATTCAGAGCCTGCCATTGTGCGGCCAGTTTAAGTGTTTAAGAACAAGAATATGGCCGGGTGGTGGAGGCGCATGCCTTTAATTCCAGCACTCGGGAGGCAGAGGCAGACAGATCTCTGTGAGTTTGAGGCCAGCCTGGTCTACAGCTAGAGTTCCAGAACAGGCTCCAAGGCTACACAGAGAAACCCTGTCTCAAAAGAACAAAACAAAAAAAGCAAAAACAAGCAAAAAAAAAAAAAAAAACCAAAATATGGAAATGCTTTCTGGGAGTGGCAAAGGACTTTTCCATCCTCTCTTATCCTTTTAATTGAGTCTGGTTATGGAGCAAGTTAGCAATTGATATTAAAGAACTAATAGTAAAGGAAAATAAGCATGGCTATTAAAATACAAAGTACAACCTTCACTGCCGGCCAGACAGCCTGCAGCAGCCACGGCTGAGAATCGCAAAGATGTCCTTGAGACTCGACTCTGAGAACAGATGTGGGTGGGGCACAAAGAATGTTCTATCAGATTCTTATATTTTTTGAGATGTAATTCACGTGTGATTAAATTTCACTATTTTAAAGTATGATGTCCAGAAGGTTTTAGTATTGTAGGGAAGAAGGAAAAAAAATGTCCCCTTTGCCCTCCGGAGAGTCGCCGCAGTGAACTAACAGCACAGATCAGCACACGCATGTTTAGCTTGGCTGGTGAGAAATCTCATGAGGGTGATTACCAGTAACCCGGATAGGCAGAATTGCCTACACATCTGTCTTTGTAGGACACAGGGATTGGGGGGACTGCAGACAATGTAGTAAGTTATTACAGCAAATGAACATTTGAGGAAGGGCCTGACTGGCAGAGCACGTGTGTGATCCCAGGACTTGGGAGGCAGAGGCAGGCAGAGCTCTATGAGTTCCAGGCCAGTTGGGGCTACAAAGTGAAACCTTGTCTCAAAGCAAGGCTGACCAGCAGAAATGAACCTTCGGGGGTTGGGGGTTGGGGGGAATGAATGGGTCTAGAGCATACACAGACAGGGTTGAACTGCCTGTGGTAGATGAATGATACCCGGGGAATATAGGAAAGAAGTGGAAACTAACTGTTGATAGGTGTGGATACTGGAAACGTTCTAGAATTAAATAATGACGATTGCTGTACAACATGATGAATAATTAAAACCATGGAACTTCACACTTTAAAATTATGTCTTAGACTGGGCATGGTGGCACATGCCTTTAATCTTCACATTCAGAAGGTAGAGGCAGGTGGATCTCTGTGAGTTCGAGGCCAACCTGGTCTATGTAGGAAGACAGGGATATGTAGTGAGACTCTGTCTCTAAAAACAGAACAAAACATGTATCTTAATTCCATTCATTTGAAAACAAAAATCCAAACTATCCTCACATTTTCTTCATTTATCTTGCAATTATCTGGATATTCTAAATATCTTCCTGATTTTACTTCTAATGTAATTATTTTGTGATTAAATTTCAATTTTAAACAGATGCAGTCTTTTTCCCTTTTTCTTTGCAGGGCTGAACACTGAACCCAGGACCTCACACCCCCTAGGAACTGCTGAGCTACATCCTCAGCTCAAATACAGTCCTTTTTTTTCAATGTTTTGATGCCCCAAACTATAACCTACCTTGGTGACTGTCTTAGTAAATTTGAAAAGAATGGGCGTCCTGCTGCGGGTAAAGGGCTTTAAAGTCTCAGCTCAAGTCAAACGATCACACTGCCGCATCTTCTACAATCTTATTTTTCTGTGTGCTCTATTGATGCCTGAGAATTGTTGTTTTCTCAAGCTCCACTTGTATGTCTAGTTCATCTTTACATTTCATCCATTTTCCCTTCGTGTGCTATAAAATTCTGTTTGTGGATACACACACGTTGAGTGTTATTGTGTCTTCTTACGTTTTTCTGTCTAAGATTGTCCCTCCAACTCTAGGGATAGCCCTTGCTCTGTAGTCTTCTTTTGCAGTAATTAAACCATTCCAGATTTCTAACAAATGTTGCCTGATTCAGCATCTTATTCTTCTACTTGGAAACTATTTGCATTTTGATTCTTAAAGTTGTCTCTTTTATAAGCATATGCAAACAGAATATCTTCCTGTTAGCTTTCCTATTGCCCTGTCTGCTCCTTGCCGTCCTCTTCTTGGGATGGACTGAGTTATTTTTTCCATATTTCATTTTATCTGCCTTGTTGACTTTCGTGTCCATGCCTGTGTGGGGCTTGTGTTAACCACTTCTGGCACTTTTCACTTCTTTTGTATATCTAAGCTTTCTGCCTAAAGAACCTCCTTTAATATTTCTTACAAGAGAAGATCTGCTTATAGTGAAACCCTGTGTGTTTTGAAGTCTTTAGTATGCCTTTGTCTTTTGTAAAGAGCATTTTCCCTGGATACAGAATGCTAAGTTGAGTTCTTGTTTTCTTTACGCTAATTTAAGGTATTGTTCCATTATCTTTTTGCTTGCATAACTTTGGTCAAAAGTCTGCAATATTTCTTATTCTTTCTAAAGAATAAAAAATAAAATAGGGTTTTTGAGTTTACATTTAAGATTTTTCTTTATTGTTAATTTTTAGTTTTATTTATTTATTTACTTACTCACTTACTTATCTGCTCTTTCAAGACAGAATCTCTCTTTATATCCATGGCTGTCCTGGAACTACCTGTGTAGACCAGGCTGGTCTCAAACTCAGAGATCTGTCTGCCTTTCCTCCCAAATGCTGGAATTAGAGGTGTGTACCATCACATCCAGTTTTATTTAATATTGGAAGCTAAGCACAGGACTTTCTGTATGCCAAGCAATCACTCTATCACTATCAGTCAGTAAATCACTATCAATACTTTGATTACAATATACCTCAATGTGGTTTCATCTCTTGTGGTTGGGATCCACCGTAATTCTCAGATCGCTGGTATTTATCATTCTTATCACCAAATTTGAAAAAAATTTGGCCCATCATTGTTAAGCACCTATTCACTCTCCCTTCTGTCCACTTACACTTTTATTTCCTTGTCTTTCTTCTCTGCTTCAAGTTGGGTAGCTTCTTTTGCTGTATGTTTTCAATTCCACTTCTTTTTCTCCTGCAGTTTCCATTTTCCTTGTAATCCCATAACTAGAAGTTACATTTGGTTCTTATTTTGTATCTTCGATTCTTTCCTCATTCCATTCATGTTTCCCTTTAAACTCTTGAGCACATTTTACATTATGTTTACTTCAATGTGCCTGTCTCCTCATTTGATCAACTCTGTCACCATCCAGTATATTTCTATTAGCTGACATTTCTCTTGGTGTGAGTCACATTCTCCTTTTC